GCTTTGCCATTTGTCTCTGGGCAGAGGAACTTGAGAAGAAATGTGGCATTAGCAGTCCCGGGGCTTGAGTCCTCCTCCTTCTGCCAGACAGTGCTGTTGGCCTTTTCCTCTTGGCACCTGGTAGAGCATTTAGCTCTTACAGCCTGATCCCCTTGGGTTTTGGCTGTGTGGGATGGAAGTGGGCTGAGCCTCTCTTGCAGAGGGTGCACATAGAGTGCGCCCCTTAGAGAGCAGCTGCTGTGACAGAGAGCCGTCTGTCTCTGGAGATGGAAAGTAGGGAGGCTGGAGCTTGCTATGGGTCCCTCCTTGCTGCCACTCATGCTTTCATGGCTGTCCCAGGTGGGCTGGGTTGATGGGGCTTCTGAAGCTGGGAGGTTAGTCTAAAGCTCAGGTTTATGCTGCTGTGAACAGGCTATTGGCCTTTCTTGCATGCTGCAAAGTAGGGTCTGATTCTGGATTGGAGGCTACCCATGAGGCTGTTGTATTTGGAATATTATTAGGAGGAGCAGAAGACTACCCTAGACTCCATCATACCTAGAGGGACTTCTTCAGCAGCATTGAGCAATCTCTTTACAACTAGGTCTTACCAAGGAAAGAGAATATCCACATGACATCTGTCGCAGTGGAGTTTGCAGTCTACATCAGACAGAGTCTTTATGGGTTTTCAGACTCAGAAAATACTTCAGATGAGCTTGTGTCTTGCTGACCCTTACTAGTAAGGGTTGCAGGTTAAGACTTGGTGAGAAGAAATGGGTCCTTTTCTTACATTACCCATTAAAGGGTACAGATTTGCTTAGCTGTAATTTCTCATAATGATTGAGCTTTCTTGAAAATGTAGATAGAAATGTGTTAGAGGTTCATTTTTTAATTTGTCTTTTTGGACATAAGAGAAAATCTGTTATGAGCTTATCTAAAGGGCTAGGTATTTTTTTTTTTTTGGTCTTTTTTTGGTTTTTCTTCGATACCGGGAACCGAACTCACGACCTTGCGCTTGCCAGGCAGGCGCTTTGCCGCTGAGCTAAATCCCCAGCCCCTGGGCTAGGTATTCTTCGAGATGGGTCACCACTATGGGTGGGGGAGAACTTGAGCCTACTCCCCGAGAATAAATAACAGGGGCCTTAACTATCTGAAGGAGATGAATCTTCTCCTGAGTTACGGGTTGAAGATGTTTGGGCCATGGTAGAAGCAGGTTACTGTCAGAATGGTAGTCAGTAATGTGGCTTCTTTTCAGAGAATAAAGTATGAGAATACCATCGTCAACCAGAGCAGTGCACAGAAAAGTGAAACATATCCCTAGTTGTTCCTTTTCCCTCCGTCTGTGGTAGAGTCTGATGACTTAAAGAGAGTCATGAGCAGTTAGATGGCGTGAAAAGACAGGACCAAACTGGGGCCAGGTGTGGTGGCGCACACCTGTAATCCCAGTACTCGGGAGGCTGAGGTAGGAGGATCATTGTGAGTTTGAGACCAGCCTGGGCTGCAAAGGGTCCAACTAGGAAGGTGTATCAAGTGTGGGAAGGAGGAAGGAGGTGAATGGAATTTTGATTGAAATGTTGTGCTTCATGTGATGACAGTGGTTGTGGGAGGCTGTGGTCTGAAGAGAGATGACCATGAGTTCATATAAATTTGTCCTTTTGCTCCAGAAACAAGCTGGAGTTCTGTTTCCACACTGGTTCTTCTGAGGCCTGTGTCGTAGAGTCTGACAGCAGCCAAGTCCGTTGAATGCACTCAATACTGCTCTGCCTGTTGCTTTTACTTTGAGCCAGCAGAAGCCTCCATTTCTCCACACTCTTTCTTCCTTGGCACATGAACAGTAATTAAAGATGAGCAAACCTGTGCTGGGTGCTGTTGAACTCCCAGGGTTGTTCCCTTTTTTCTGTTCTGAACGTTGTGTGCTTTGCCTGGGTTTTCCTGCCAGCAGGGTGGGACCTTTGACCTTGTACTTTGTGTGGATGCACAGGAACGCCATGCTCCCCTCTGGTAACCTGTGAGGGGCACTTAGTGGTCAGTGGTAGGGCAGTGTCCTTACCCGAGGACTGGATAAGACAGGGCCTCCATATTTCTGAAGGCTGGGGAATCCTTGACCACAGAGTGGTTCCAGGGAAAGGTTCACAGTGAGTTCTGGAAAACTGAAAGCTCAAAGATTAATAGCAAGCGAGTAGAAGAGGAAACTCAGGTTATTTGGAGTAAAAGTTTTAAAAATGAATGGATTGCTGGGTTGGGTCTTGAGCTTTGCTTTGGCTGTTCTACCTGACTGCTTGAGTTGTCAGAGGCCAAGTGACAAGGTGGACGTGGCTTAGGGAGAATAATAGCGTCCCTGAGAGGATGTCCTTGGAGACTCAGTAAAAGGATATGGGTTAGACTTTGGAGTAATACAGTTTTATCTCCAGCCAAAATTTTAGATATTATCCACTTTCCTTCACCAGTGAGAAAAATTGGGGGAAATGACCAAGTTAGTGGTTGAGTCAGGATAAGGATCCAGGTCTTCTGGCTCTGGCTGCTTGCTGGGCAATCTTCCCTGTGCCCTGCTACTTCTGTAGGAAAAGGGCGAGTATCACTTTTCATGTTGAGCCATCCCATTGGCCACTCATGGGAAAGCCACTTCTTGCACTTGCCAGGCAAATCCATTCACATCTAGGGAAAGGCAATGGTATTACTCAGAGAGTGTTCATCGGATGAGGGATTTGACTGGGAAACCTCGGGGAGAAGAGATGGGAGCCCAAGGGGGGGAGTATAGTATGGTTGTAGTTCCTAGAGTCTGAAGACTGGTCACTTCCAGAGTCTTTTTTGGAACACAAATCCAAATGAGCATCTGCACATCTGCTCTTCATGACAGCCACCCCTGAGAGCCACTAGCAAATCATCAGTGAAGAGAAAAATTTGTTGCCACCCAACTGGCTTCCCCATGGCCATGTGCAGGAAGTTCTTCTGTGTAACCCCCTATGAATAGAGCTTCTGCCGCTCTGTGGAACACATTTTAGGAAAGCAGACATCCATCATTCCCAGGGACAGGAATGCTCCACTAGCATGTGTGTCTGTGTGTGTGCTCATGTGCACACACTACATCCACACCTGCATGCATATTCAATTCATTCTTTTTTTTTTTTTTTTTTTTTTTGGTACCAGAAATTGAACTCAGGAGCTTGTGTTTGCCAGGCAATCACTATGTCATTGAGCTGTATTCCCAGCACATATTTAAAACATACTTTGCTCCAAATACTTAGGACATGCCCTGGTGAAATACGTTTATAGTTAAGAATGTTCAGTTGAAATGTTTTGTACTGTTAATATTTCTCAATTTGGATGCATCCGCCGTGCCTGAGAGTTAAATAACACAGGGTGTCGGGTGCCTTAGAGTGTCAAGGATGAGAGAGAGAGAGAGAGTGTGTGTGTGTGTGTGAGAGAGAGAGAGAGAGAGAGATTGAGAAATCATCTGTCTTTGGCAAAGGGGTAAAGGGAAAGCGCATAAACAAAACAATGTGATTGAGAAAGAGTTCTGCAAAGGGAGCCGTGTATGATCTTTATCAGCGTGCTGCACACATGGCACTGTATGCTGTCCTCAGGCCGCGGTGGCCCATAGGCTGTGGCGCTGAGGCTTACTCAGCCACGGGCACTGCATGGTTTGAACAGTATTGGGTCCTCCTTCTGGGGGTTGGAATTTGGTAGCAGTGGGTGGCTCAGTTTCATTGTCACTACCTGGGCACTGCCAGTTTGAGTACATGTACCTCCTCTGCACATCTCCAGTTTTATCTAATGTCAGTACTAGGTCTCAACATACCAGCGTTCTGATTGCAATAGGTTGTTGGCTCTCAGAGAGCTGTGCGTTCTTCTGCCTGCCTACCACCCACAGATCCTACCTCTGCCTACCCTGATCCTTAGGGGAAATGGCAGGAAGGCACAGAGGCTAGGGCAGAGATGGAGGCCAGATCTGGGATTTGCTGCAGAGGCAGTAGAGGCCCTGGGAACAGGAATGTGGGTGGGGAGAAAGTCAGAGCTTGTGTCCAGTGCTTAACTCCCTACTTTCTGTCCTGCCCCATTCCTTGTATCTCACCAGCTCCATTGCTGGCTCATGACCCAGCAAGGGGCTGGCAGAAAAGTCCCCACATGGGAGTGGGGACTGGAGGACTGTCACGGGCTGGGGCTGTGATCGGTTGTTGTTGGGGCCTCCATCTTTCCAGGAGTGATAGCATGGCCCAGCCCAACTCACACAGTCATCACGATGGCAAAATGAGATAATGTATGCAGAAGTACTTCGGACAGCCAAAAATGGCTGCTACCGCCTTGTGTATTAGAAGGACGTTGTCCAATTTCTTGTCTGGGTAAGGCACAGACAGAGGAAAGGCGCTTCTAAAGCTGGGCCTTGAGGAAAGGATGTATTCTAAGGGTCACTGCCATTCCAGCAACACCTGGAAGCCCCAAGAGAGAAGCATCTTGTGTTCATAAAGATACCAGTTCCTTTATAAGCTGATTTGGAGCCTCTGTGCCGGTAACTGTGGTGTGGCGGCTCCTGGATAGGAGAAAGGACACAGGTGCGGCCTCCTGCTTGTAACTAGTGCATGGCGGAGGACCCAAGCTCATGTAGTCACAGTGCAACGAGGGCAGTGCTGCCCCAATGTAATCAGAGGCCAGTAGGCCTCTACCTACCATCTGTGCTAGTTCAACAGTGAGCATTATGCCTGTCTAACTTTCTTCAGTGTTGCTTCCTCCCTCCCTCTGAAATCAGATCTGAATTTTTTCCCTTGGTCTACGTGCCAGTGAATAAAGCTGTAGGAGGAGCCCCATTCTTCTGCCCCTGGACAGGACAGGGATGGCTGCTTCATTGGCAGCGGTCCATGGGCAGAGGGAGCCATGGGAGCCGTTGGTGGATTCGGGGATGAGTGCTCATCAGTGCCATACCCTCCACCATCTACCAGAGGGATGGCTGCCAAGCCCCCAGGTAAGGGTGGGCCTGCCTTCTGTCCATTTCAGAGCAGCAGCAACCTGTCTTTTCCTTTCCCCTACAGGAAGCTGCACAGTGGGATGAAGACGTACGGGTGTGAGCTCTGCGGGAAGCGGTTCCTGGATAGTTTGCGACTGAGAATGCACTTACTGGCTCATTCAGGTAGGCGAGGATGACTTAACTGGCACAGGCAACTACCTCCTGCCCACCTTCACCTCCAACCACTGCCAGCCAGGGCCTTGCTCCACCTTTACCCTTGGGTGCCCCCTCCAGGTTCACAGAGCAGAAAAGCCATTCTGATGGTATAGTGTGTGCCCATTGCACAAAACCAATCTGCATGCTCCCCTGGGGTTCCCAGGGCATCGCTGGCACCCGTGCCCTGTGTCATCTACCTTCCAAAGTAGACTGCAGTTTCATTAGCAAAACAGTTGTGGAATTAGGTTCTCGCTGTCTAATGAATCTGACTATTGGGTTCACATTATACTGGAGCCTTTAATTAAATAGATATAGAAAGGTTGGAACACAAAGCTAGTTATAGCGTGCTGTCTTTTGCAAGTTAATTTTACCCAATTCTAGTCGGGTCGACTGTGTGGCTGCTGGTAATTGTGCTCATGTTTGGGCAAAGTTGCTCTGCCCTACGGGGCGTGGAAAGGGGAGAAGTCGCTGACACACAGCAGCTCAGGTGTTCTTGGTGCAGGAAAAGATCCTGCAGGCCTGGTGCTGTGGCTTGCAGCCTGAGGAGTCACCTGCCTTTGGCTGTAGGTGCTGCAAGATTTCTGAGCCAAGAGATCACTCTTCACCCTCTTAACAACCTTGGCTTTCAACCTCAGAGTCCCATTTTTGGAGAGGGGTGGGTTGTCTTCCTGTCTGGCCAATGTGTACCCCTTCTTCTTCCATATTGCCTCAAGCAACTGGCCCTCCAGGCCGGTGTTGGGAAATGAGCATGGGCTTTGGGGTTGGGCAGATAAAGGTTCAAATCCGGTGTGTGACAGGTGCTAACTGTGTGACTGCGGTCCGTTTCCTCTCGTGAGCTCCAGTTTCTGCATCTGAAGGGTACAGGGATTGCTAACTCACTCAGTGTTAATTTTGAGGACTAGGTGACAGAATATATGTTACAGGAATCTGTAGTAAGTCACTGGCAAGCAGGTGGTGTTTAATAGATAGCAGTGGCTTCTGCTCACACCTTTCCCCTCCTTCTGAAGCAGTCACCCCTGGGGTATGTCGTTGCCAATGCCAGAGGCTTCCTGCCTGGCTGGCTGCGGACTGTTCTTCCTGCTGCCCTTTGCGTGTGCTGTCATGAAAGTGCTGTGAGTAGCTTTGCCTGCGCCTGCCTTGCTGTGATGCCTGTGCAGTTGTGCACTGTTGGATGCCGCCTCTCTCCCTGACCTTCATAGCCCGTCCTAAAGTGCTCAGACTCTTCTGGGTTTCCAGTCTTCCCTCTTTTGGGTCCAGGGATTCGGTCAGCCCCAGGTAGCTGTCTGTCTCGGCAGGTCCACACTCTTCCCATGTCTGTTCCCGTCTCCTTCCTGTGGACCTCCTCACCCTGCTCCACTGAGCACTCCTCCTCTGGCCCCACCTGCGTGACTTGAGCCGGGAGTCCAGAGTCAGGCATTCCTGTGTTGAGCATCCACTTGGCACTTGTACACCTTTCCTTCTGCTTTAGTGATGTGCACCTTGTATCTTCTTGCTTCCCTTCAGCTTTGCACGCTGTTTAGGGTTCATTGTGGGCTTTCATGAGCTGTCTGCCAACCAGGTTGGCTATCTCTTCATGATCCTTGAGAGCAAAGGGTGAATCCTTTATTGATTTCTTTCAGGATGACGATGTAGCTAAGCCTGGCCTCTAACTCACGGTGACCCTCCTGCCTCAGCCTTCCTAGTGCTTTAAATTATAGACATGTGCCACCCTGCTGGGGTTGAATGGTCTTCTGTTTCTATTGCTTTCTGCCCCAGACACACATGTGTGTGGTTTCAGACACTACCGTGGGGGCACAAATACATTTCAGTCTGTTGTTAAAATCGCTTTATCCTGTCTCAAACTCAGCCCAAAATTAGCATAGTTTTTTGCCACTGTTTGCTTGGCTTGTTGAGTTGCTTTATGTGTGCTTTGCTTTCAGAACTTGGAAGGACCCTTCCCTCCTCTTCCCAGGTTTTCAACTTCCCTTCTCAATGTCATCTTCAACCATTCTCCCACCTCCAGCCAGAAACACCTGTGCCCTTTTAAGTGCCCACATTTCTTTTATCTGAAGCTATCTTGGGGCCAGTAGGTTTCTTCTTTGTGTTCCAGTTATTTATGGACTTGCCTTATCTTTCCTGTTGGGGCGGCAGGGTACGATGGCAGAAGGAATTTGGGCACCCACCTCTGATGAGGTGACTTTGGGCTCTCTGAACCTCAGCATCCTCATCTGTAAAGTGAGAGTATTTAACCCTTGACCCTACTTCAGAGGAGCTTTAAGGCCCACATTATGTGGTTGTCATACGCCTGACATGTCACAGGCTCTTGTGATTTTTCTTCTCCTCTAGGAGACTACAGTATAAACGTATCGGGCACAAGACTGGTCTTGCTTATGTCGAGTGCAATGCCTGGCACATTACTGGAATCAACAAATATTTGTTTAATGAACGAGTGCAGCCTGGGAGGAGGATGAACAACTTGAGGGGACTCCAGTCTCTGGCCCAGTCTTTCCTGCAACAGGAGCTGCTTGTGGTAGAGGGGAATGCTGGGGTAGAGACGACCAGGAGTCCCTTGGCCCTGTTGCAACTCCTGCAGTGGGGGCCAGCGTGGGTTGGCTACCATCTCTGCTGATGAGGGTGGCAGAAGGCGATGAATGGATTTCATACTTCTGATGGGTTTTGGTGGCCCCAGTTCAGCCAAGATAGTGGCTTTGCAAAGCCTTGGCCCCGCTGGGCTGGCAGGGCAGATCTTTGGGGGGGATGTGTATTCCAGTCCTTCCTGAGATCCATCTCCAGGTCCTGTGGTGTCATTGGATGTCACAGAAGCTTTGGGAGTTAGGTCTTGTTTTCCTGATTTTCCCTTTGCACTCCTCTCTTATTGGCTACCAAAGGCTGACTGCATCCAGTGATTTGTCCCTTTGAGAGGCAATTGTCAGTGCCCATATGAAGTGGGGTTGGGTGACAGGGTGGGTATACTGAGTCATGCTAGTGAATTCATTAACTCTGGCACATAGCTCCTGGGTGAGATTTCTAGTCTCTGTGTCTTCTTTCTTTTACCCTGTATACCTCGCATCCCTGTGCTGGGATGACTTGCAAACCAGATATCACAGAGGATTAGGGAGGCCAGACTACTTCCTGAGTTGGTTGCTGCTTGTTGAATAGAGACTGCCTTGACCTGGAGCCTGCAAAGACATGGCCTTCTTGGGGTTGGAGTGTGAGCTTGGGCTACTGGAGCCAGGTCTTCTAGACAATACCAGATGCCTGATAACACCATGTTGTTTTAGAAAACGCGCTTAGCTAGGTGACGTGAAGTTTGCTTGCTGCTGTTACGAAGATTCCATACAGGGCACTGACCGTGAGAATGGATGCTAATGATCATAGCACAGACCCATTTTACAGATAATCACCCAGGGTTGGAGCAGCAGCCCAGAGCCTGGAGGAACAGTAATGCTCTAGGCCTAGGGGCAGCCTTTTCTTTCGTTTCTTTCTTTCTTTTTTTTTTTTTTAAAGCCCCCTGTAGAGAAGCAAGCCCAGGTCCGAGCAGGGGTCCTGGTTGCTCCCTAAGGGTCTCCGCTGCCCTTGCGCAGCCCATCCCTGCTGTTCTCTTCTGCTCAGCGAGCTGAGATGCTCCCTCCTCGCCTGTGTGCCGGCGGCCCCACCCCCTCTTGGCTCGAGCTGCCTGTGTTTGTTATTGTAGTCCTGGCGCAGGGCCAGGCCTGGCTGCCAGCCAGGCTTGTGGGTACAGTATGTACAGTGAGTGCTGAGCCAAGTTTGTCATCATACACGATTAATTTTTTTTTTCTAATCTGGTAGGGGTGGGGTGAAGGAGGAGACAAGAAAAGTTCTCGGTGCTAGAAAAGAGGCCCCGCCGCATTCCGTGGAGACGTTATTTATGAAGGGAGGAAAAGGCTGCAGCTTGTCTTTCCTCCACGTCTTTCCCCGTTTCTATCCTTGTCTTCCCCCTGTACTCCTCATTTCCCTCCTGGATAAAATCAGCCTGTAGGAGATCGACAAGGCGAGGTCTTCTTTTCGGTGACTAGAATACTAAATTTATGCTCCTAAATCAGTTTTCATTGTGCTGAAATTGACAATTTGTTTAATTAGAAGTTTGCCCTGTAGGAGGCCCTTCTGAGAGGCACTGCTTTCTCTTCTTCTGCCTTACTTTTTGTTAGTTTTATTTTTTTAAAGACCCTAAATGGTAGTCGTGAATGTTCAGTGTAATTGAAGTTTTTATCTTGATTTGAATGCGTTAACTAATCAAGTGTTTATGAGATATACCTGATGATAACAATAAGTTTAAATTAAACCAACAGTAACCTAACTCATTAACTAATGAGATGATCTGGCCAGGCCCTGCATTTTCAGAGGCGGCTTTGCGGGGGAGTCAGGAAGGTTTGAGTATTAGGAAAGAGGCTCACGGTGGGAAGGGTGGCAGCCTCCACTCAAAGACTTTGCAAAGCTGGCCTGGCAGGAGGGTAAAGTTTGGGTGTAGGATTGTGGCTGTGAGCAGAAAAATGTCCCCCAGCTCTAGCCATGTGTGTCCCTGCATGACTGTGGAGCCTCCTGCTCACTCTTGCTGCCTTATTCCTGGGGTGAGGGGCAGTTTCTGCAGTATCTGTGAACCTCCTGACTCTGCCTCTCCTTGTTCTAACATAGGAAGTGATTCCTGGCACAGGGAGTTCCCTTCAAGGACCACAGGATCACTTAGTGACTTCAGTTCCTTCTGAGATTGGCCAACATCGGGTTTCCCATTAGGTGGTATTTCTCACAGCTTGGCTTCACATACTGGTGGATTATAAGCGGGCACACCTAGAACTGCTTGCCCCTGTTTTTGACTTGACCGTTTACAGTAAGAAGCTTGAGTATGTATGTGGCCTGGCCCTATTTTGGGAGTGCCATTCATTTTTGGAGCCAGTAGATATTTAAAAAGACCGAATTATGTGTCAGGTCTGTGCATTTCACAGTGAAGAATGCTAGTACAGCATCCCTGC